CCCGAATTCAAGAGTTTATATTCTAAAGCCCTGCCAGAAATAAAATTTAAATTTGCATGTCTGGTTTAAGATGTTAATTGAAAAATAGCCAACATGTAGATATTAACTTTATTCCTATGCCCTAAATTTTCAATAAGGTTTACTCCGTTATTCTCTTATATACCAAATACCCAAATATACATTATGCATAACTACCGGTTTTTGCTAATGTTTCAAAAACTTCAAAATCACACAAAGTCAGTAAACTGTAAACAAGAAATTAATAAATAAAAAACAATAAGTTTTTGACATTATTGATTAACAATTTTTTGCGTAAGGGGAAGCACGCTCCGAAGTAACTCCTGTCTTATAGAGAAACTTAAGGGGAGAAAAATAAACTTTGTTATATAGAAAACTCGTTTCACAATTTTTTGCACGCAATGTTTCGATTTAAAATGAATTTTAACTGTATACTGTGCACTAAATTGTTTATGTATGTTTTTTTTTGTATTAATTATTTATTGTAAAAATATTCAATAATTAAATTTTTATTCAACTAGTTTTATTTTAAAACGTTCTAAATCAGTTTAGCATTTTAACTTTAAAAAAAAATTTCAATTTATAATTTCACAAGTTTTATTGAATTCAATAATATTAATTGCACTGGTTCTTTTGTTGTTATTATAATATGGATTTTTCATTGGCAAAATAAATACAATGTGGTCAAAAGTTTTGCGGATTACATTTAGAAATCGTTTTATAAATATTATATATTAAAACAGTTATGGCAGAAAGATATCCTATAAAAAGATGATATATTTTATAACTGCAAAACTTATTTAAAAGCTGAAGGTACATTTAAAAAATTAACATAACAAATTGCTTTAAAACTTGCTTGCTTGAGACAAGCAAATTCAGACAAGTAAGAAAGGGCTAAGTTCGGATGTAACCGAACATTTTATACTGTCGCAAAGTCAAATGGTATACTCGTTTTAGATTTCTTTGTGGATCTTGCCTTCTTGTTCTATGTTGACCGATATTTTCGGTAAAAAGTCAACTATAGGCACTTTTGGTTCAATTTAGATAATTATTGGTCACAAGGCATACTTTAAACGTATTATTCACGCAAACTTTTACGCCGATATAATCATTGTTGCTTGATTTGCATACTGGAAAGTGAAAAAATCAGATGGAATTTAAAATGATATTATATGGGAAATAGACGTGGTTGTAATCCGATTTCGCCCATTTATACGTACTATAACATAGAAATATGAGAAGAATATTATGTACAATTTGGTTGAAATCGGTTAAGCAGATCTCAAGATATGGATTTTCACCTAAAAGTGGGCGGTGGCACACCCAGAGGAGATATGCACATTAAATTTATTAAAGGGCGGGACCACGCCCTTTTAAAAAAATTTTACTGCAGATGCCCCTCCCTAATGTGATCCTGTATACCAAATAAGAGTCTTGTATCTTGTTGTAGAGCTTAGTTATGGCAATTTATTTGTTTTTGATTAATGGCGTTTTTTAGGCGTGGCAGTGGTCCGATTCCATCTGCAATACTAACCGTCTTACGGTACCAAAAAACATGTGTATCAAGTTTCATAAAGATATCTCAATGTTTACTCAAGTTACAGCTTGCACAGACGGACGGATAGACATTCACCCGGATTTCCACTCGTCTCTTCATCCTGATCATTTATATATACATAACCCTATATCTAACTCGATTAGTTTTAGGTGATACAAACATCCGTTAGGTGAACCAAACTATTATACTTTGTAGCAACAAGTTGCGAGAGTATAAAAATTACTTTTTAACCAGAAATGTAATAATTTATTTTCGAAACTATCATTCTAGTACAGTATCCCCTGGATAACTGCACTTCAAAAATAGTACAATTTTTGGGTCAATTAACCAGGGAATCAATTAATCAATCCTCTTTTAATTGAACAATTCGTTCCATTACAGGAATCCCGCTTAATTGGACAACCTAATCAATTAAAACAAATTCATATGTGCACTTTAAGTATTAATTTAGTTTTTAGTAATGATATTAAATAATAAAACAAAAGAACAAAAACAGAACAAAAAATAAATAAACTTAACACATTGGCTGCCAATGATTACAACGAAAAACTACCCTAACGTGTTAGTTTTTTGTTGTTGTAGCGGCAGAATTCTACCGAGTTGACAGTCCTTGGCCGGAATAAATCCGGGCCCGTTCCGGTTACGTAGACCCGACTGTCGAGGGAACGGAAGTTTTTTGTCGTTATCACCGGTGATACACTGGCAGCCAATGTTTTTAAGACCACAAAAGCTCATATTATTGTATATTTATATGCACCACTAGCCTTCACATATTTACATTTTGAAAATGTTGCCTTGAGAATTTTGTAATTTTTTTGTATATTGTTCAATCTGTATATGTGAAATAACGTGCTATTCCATATACCCTAATTCACCCAAAAACTTGTTTTTTGAATAAAAATATGTTCAAAGTTAGTTTTCTTGTATGTATTTTAAAACTTCGAGAACTGAAGAGGCTTTGAAGGATCACCTTCTTTTTTTTGCACCTCAACATCAGCATTGACCGGGCGTCAATTATATGAGGGATATTGTATTTGTTTTAAGATTTTACTCTATATTGAATTAAAGTTATTTTTGCACGATTTAATAAAAAACTAATGTGTAGAAACGAATTATTAAAGAGTTAGTGGATATAAAAAGTAAAATATAAGTGTAAAATCCACTATAAATCGAAGAAACACGAACTTTAAAGCATATATCTCAAAGATATAAGTCTTCATAATCTGGAGAACCTCCTCTATTCGTACATATTCATTTTAAACAAGATTTCGGGGGAGGCTAATATTGAATTGAAGTAATTTTTGCACCCTTTAATATAAAATAAATAATTTAATAAAAATAAATGTGTAGAAACGAATTAGTGGATATAAAAGTTAAAAATATAAATATAAAATTCGTTACTAAACAAAGAAACACGCACTTTAAATAGTCAAAAACCACATGTCAGCGGCAACTATATACATATACATACACTTGTTTATTACATTGCTTAGTTTATTTAAGTCTTTGCTAAGTGATACGGTGTAACAATTTATATTTTTTACTTCTAAATAAACTTAAAATACAGTTAAAAAATAAGGATTATACCGTCAAAACAAAATTCATAATCATGTGAGGAGTTTCACAAATTTCGGTGTTGGACCGACCAAGGTTATTGTTTTAAAGTGCGGCCGAAGGCCGCCAGTGGAGAAAGGAGTTCGACGATCTCCTCCATTCGTCCATACCATCAGATCGCGACGTAAAGAAATCGTGACTGTTACATTTCTTCAGTATTTTTTTTTACAAGATTTTTTTTTTCTCGTTGAACGTGTAATTGCATCTAATTGATCTGAATTCTACAGAATTCTGCCTCTTAACAACAAAAATATATATAATTATTGCCGCCGGAAACTAGTTACTACTATAGTTTTCGAGATATTTGCATTTTAAGTTGAAAATTTCACAAATTTCATTTTACAATTTCTCGATTTATGGTTATCTTTTCTTTTATATTATGCACTTATCATACACTAACTTTTCACTTCAATGTTTCTACATATTTATTTTATATTAAATATTTCAGTATTTGCTTTAAATAAGCATTTAATTTTTACACAATTTTCGTAATATGAACAATAACAAATGGGTTCCATGTTGTCATATAATAAGTGTTGCCATATATATTATACATATATATATATATATATATATACATTAAAATATAATGAAATTTGTGAAATTTTCAACTTAAAATGCAAATATCTCGAAAACTATAAGTTTCCGGCGGCAATAATTATATATATTCGTGATCTGGAGAATCTCCTCTATCCAACCATACCCCTCTTAACCCTGAAATCGTGGGATGCTAAACTAAAGCCCACCCTTTTTTTTAAGCGCGGCCTAATGCCGCCAGTGCACAAGGAGTTACCACGGAAAATTACAAGTGCGAAGTGTGCAATTTTTTGAATTTTTCGTAAAAATTCTTTGACTTTCCGCTCAAAAATAAGATTAAAAAAAAAATTAATTTCCCTCCTTCGTTGGAGGACCTAAACTATACATTTACCTTATTTTATTTTTGAAGCGCGGCCGAAGGGAATGGAACAAAGGAATTCTACGTGAAAAATTAAAATGTGTTATTTATTTCCTGCCATTGGGGCATTATCTGTTTTCTTTATTCTTGTTGATTCCTTTTTAAAATATGTAGATAAGGTAACATTGACTATTTGTTAGAATGCAAACCTTTGGTTGTTATGTTGATAAAAAGAATGAAACAAAAGTTATATATTGAATAAAAATTATTTTTGCACTATTTCATATAAAAAAAAATGTGGGAAAACTAATTAGAGAAGTGTTAGTGGATAAAAGAGCTAAAAATCTGTAATGAAAAATCATAAAACGAAGAAAAACTTTAAATAGTTGAATTTTTGAATATTTTCTGCATCTGGAAAACCTTTTCTATCCGTACATAGCAATTTTAACCCGAATTCGGGGGACGCTATTCTACAATTTACCCTCAGCGGCAACTAAGTGTATATTATTCACATTTTAAACTCGAATTCAGTGGATGCTATTGTAAGTTATCCTTTATTTTTTACATTTAGCTTATCCACAGATTCTAAAATTAAAGTTGGTACAGCCTATCACTTTTTATTTCACATAGATACCCATGCTATTAAAAAGTTTTATCTTTTTAGGCAGTTGTAGTTGTAATAGTTGTAAAAGAACCGACATTTAGCAGGTACTTTCATATTGATAATGACTATTTTGGTTATGGGAAAATCAAACATCTTTAAAAATGGGAAGAATTTTCAAAGATGTTATATTTTTAAATATGCTTTCGTTTTGTAAACCCCTTATTGACCTACTTTTACTATAAGAGCCATTACCTCGTGTTATTTTTGTTTATAAAGAACTTTTTTAATGAATAACGTTAAAAATAACGTACCTTTTACTCAACAGGAAATATATCAACCAAAAAAACTTGAAATTTAAAAGGATTGTACACTTTTTTGAATAATCCGCGATAATTCCTTTACTACGACTTCAACGGTTAAATGGAGAATAGTCGCATGTTCGAAATACATTTTGTTGAAAAAGCTTCGAAAAATGCTTTTCGCACATATTGCTCACGGTTGCCATCTCAAGAAATATTGACATAACATATAATCTTATTTCGCAATGTTAAAGATGTCAAATAATTGAAAGAAAGGTAATATTCGAATTATAATTTTTCATGTATTTTGAAATTATTATATATTACCGGCACGGTTACGGTTTCTTTGGTGCCGCGATTTGATAGTATGGGCGGAAAGAGGAGGTCGTCAGGATTAAAAATGTATACACATATACCAGCCTCGAGTATTTGTATTTAAAAATTAAAAATAATGCAGGCTATTTCAATATGTTTAACACATTTTGCACGTGTTCTTTCGCGTCGAACTCCTTGCTGCACTGGCGGCCTGCGGCCGCGCTTCAAAATCCTCGGTTAAAAGCCGCGGTGTTCATAGTTCTTTTGAGTCCAACTCCTTTCTGCATAGTATTTGCCATAAATGTAAACACAAACACACACAAATCTCCTAACACTCTGTGCCAAGTAATTTTTGAAGTATATAAAACTATATATTGGATATATTTCAATGTGTACAGTGTAATTAAATATATTTTAAATCGTAATTTTGCCGTATTATCCAACTTCAATTCAATTTAAGCGCTATTCGTCATCATTTTGAACTTGAAACTATAAATATATAATAAAGTTAAGAAAATTACTAAAATATTTAAAATTATTTTATTAAAATGTTGAGTTTATTTAAATTAATGCATAGCAATCACATAAGTTATTCTTTAAAACATTTTTAAACTTCAACTCACGCATTTGCAAAATGTTTACTAACTCATATTTTATCGACCATGGCATTCGCAATGCATGAAACACAATGAAGGCGACACACGACAGGCATCTGTCAAATATTAAAATACAAACGCCTTTATGGGCATAGTTTCGACAATATCACGACTTCACAGCAGCAGGCTTACAGTTGTCGCTGTCGCTAACTTAAAACTATTTCTACTATTGCCGACGACAATCGGTAGCTGTAGTGATGCCCTTAATGTGTAGAAAGGAAAATTATTCAAAGCTCTAACAAGACTGACGTTATCTTACCAACAGAAGCATATAATAGCTCTGATATATCATAATAACAATTGATAATTTAAAGAAAATGAATCGACCATTTAATTATTTTTTTCACAAATAATTTCCCTTTGAACAATATATATAAATTTCATTCAAATGAAAAGTTTTAGTACGGCAGCAACGAAGTTGTGTTCATCAGCTGTTTGATAGTCGCTGCCGTCTTCAAAACGTTCAAGAAGCTTCTCTCAACCCGCCATTTGCAGATAAGTGTGCTTTTACCTTGGGACTCTTTTGACCCTCGTTATCGGCAAATTCTCTTTTGGTGTCGCTCTGTGCAATCACACGAGCAAAAAGAGTCCAGCAACTTAAATCGAGTTTTTCTGTCATTCCTTTTCATAAAATTTTCGCAAACATTTGTGCGGTTCGATTGCGCAACACTTAGAGCGTGTTGCATATTTCATTTGTATGTTGGGATGATGGTCTCACATTTTGCTTGCAATGAATTACCATGAATATGGTAGAACAATATGCATAATACCTACCCGCTTAATAGTTTCAAAGAAATATTTAAGTCGGGAATTCCCTAATCCACCAGAATGTATTGAATACCCGCTACTAATATTTTCAAGGCTAAATTAATAACAGGAATTTCCTAATCTTTAAGTATTAAAATCCCATAATTTTTTTATTCCATATTTTTTTCTATTTATTATAAAACATCCTTGAATTAGTTACAATTCTTGTTTTAAATAAAATGACATTCGAACTAAATTCTTTGCGGTTATGCGGTATGTTATTAAAATTAAAAATTGAACTTTGAGTATCTTAATTTTCTCCTTATTTACAATTTTTCAAAATATTATTATTATTCTATGCATACATATTTGCATATCACATACAAAAAATAGATTGCAGAATTCAAATTTCTGAACGAATAGTATAGATTCATTTGAAACCGAGCGCTCTTGCAACCATTCAAAAAATTTGAAAGTGAAAAGGAATGCTGAAAAGGGTAGCAGCGAGCTGTTCCGAACAAGAACACAAAGCGTACCACCCGAACACGAGTGGCACGGTCCCTTCGTCTTTCCTCGTCGTCCCCTCGCCAACAATAAACCGGTTTGGGTTACAAAAGAGTCTGTGTGTAAAGTGGCATTAAGAAAATTTCGCTATCGTGAAATAATCTATGTTTTTAAAACTTAATTTCAAATTGTCAAGATGCCAGACGTTTCATTAATTTGTTCAAAATATTAAAGCTTACCCGGATATTACACGATCAAGAAAATGCTTTCAAATTTCAATACACTTACACTTTTTGAACGCCGTCTTGATATTAATTTTTTCATTCAAGTCGTGGGCAAGTTGACAATTAAGTTAAAACAGCTGATCACATAGTTTTGTAAACAAATCACATTCAATTCATATTCATATATTCTTGGATTGATGTCAAAATTTAGGTTTATCAATCCATTATATTATTAATTGCTATTAATAATATTTACTATATATTAATATACTTATTACTATTATTGATTATCAAGTTGCTTGCGGACTATGCTGTCGGCTGTCAATTTAAATAAATTTTGACAAGTAGTTTGTGTGATCAACTTGAAATCAAGCTCTTGATCGTTTAACTGCAGCGTTACATTCCATTCATCCACTGTGAATCGTCGGGTTTATTCACTGGATTGTTAAAAAAGTCTCCAAACTTATTGAACGCCTTCTTTATTGTAAAGTACAACGTTCATAGCATACAAGGTTACGACAACATTGACGTCATTGAATCAACATCGTCATATCTACAATGGGACGAGTTTAAAAAAAAAATCATTATCCGAAAATTTTTCGATAATCCAAAATTTATTTCTTTATAATATTCGTATCACTCACACGATTTTTGTCCATATCTTTGCTAGCAACAACCCACTCTACACTCCATCCTAGATTCGAATTTTTAAAAACATTTTATATACAATTTAATGTTTTTATACTTCACAAACACACTTGATATTACAAAAAAGTGCAGAAATCGATTTTAATGTCGTTTTTTATAAACAATGCGCGCTCGCCACGAATTTACAAATTTTATAACGGATTGGACTTATTTAAATATGTGATTCTTGGGTATAAATTTCTTGTGAAAAATTAAAACTTGATTTTAAATTTAACCAAACTTTATAACGGATTTGACTTATTTTAATATGTCATTCTTGGGTAAACATTTCTTGTGAAAAATTAAAACTTGATTTTAAATTTAACTTCAAAACAATGTATGTAAGTGTCCAAGGTCAATTTCCTAATTTGCAACTTTCTAATAAGGGTTCACAGTAATAGCTCAAACAGTCACCGACATTCCTCATTTCCGTACGTCAGCTGATACGAAATATCTTATGAGAGCGCAATGTAAATGAACACTCACCCATAGATAAAATGACCCGAAACTCCTCTCTTTGCCTACTGAACAGACGACATGCAATACTTGTACAACGAACTAGCACTAAGAGTCCCGCAAGATTAGATTGCGAAATCAGTGGGTTAACTGTGAGATCAGATTTTTTGGTGACTTTTACTTGTGTTTCTAATTTTTTAAAGAGATTTCATATAGTTTTGATTTTAAGAAAGAGCGGGTATTTTGTCGCAGAGTATTTTATTTTGCTTAGCAATACCAATTGTCAACGTATATACATATTTTGGCTAGAATTCCCAGCAAATGTTATGTAAACTTTGACTTCCGAATAAATTATCGAAAGATATTTGTTTATTCAGTATATAAAAACTAAGTAATGTTTATGTTTAGCTTATTTAAAACTTGTAAGTGTTTTGAAATAATAAAATATTTTGTTAAATTTAGTTTTAAAAGTTTATTTAGAAAATCTTTTGTGATTAAACTATACACGTACATATATTTAGAAGTCATATAGGATATCTAGCTTGTTAAACTAATTTTAACTATGTATATATTTCTGTAAAATGGAAACCGGAAAATACCCAAGAAATACATTAAAAAATCTTAAAACTTATTTCTTTCCTTAGTGGCACCACTGTCAAATGTTATAAAAAATGTGGACTTTGACAGCGCTCTCTCAAATCAAAGAGTTTCGTATCATTTTATCCATGCACTCACCACCGCTTCTACCGTCCGCTTTAACAGACCGTACGGTAGGATACCCGCGAAAATTAGATTTTTCCGTAGAAATGCAACGCCGGGTTGTCAATATCGATATTTTGTAGTAATTAAAAAATAAACTTGAATATATTTTAAATATTCTTAAAATAACTCAATTTCACAGTCGAATACATTTATTTATAAATATATAAACTATTTTTTATAGTTGGATTTTAGTTTTAAGCTTTCACACTAAAAAACTAAATGTGTGAAAAATCGGGTATACAAATACACACACTGGTTTCTGCAACTACGGGCATAACTTGTAACAAATTTGGTTTGATACGGTGGTAAGTGCGGAAGGGAGGCATGTCGGTAACTATTTGGGCTTTAATATCTAATATTGTGACGAACACGGATGATAGAACTAAATCGAATCGACGATAAATTGCCAGAAGCAACTGGACAGCGAATTCGTAGTTGCCAGAATGTTGTAGAGGCGAAGTTTTATTAAAGATATTGTGACGAACACGGATGATAGAACAAAATCGAATCAACGATAAACTGCCAAAAGCAACTAGTTAGCGAATTCGTAGTTGTCAGAATGTTCTAGAAGCAATGTTTTGTTACATATTTACTATATAAGGGATGCCGGATTGTGCAGCAAACACAGTTCTAGTTAGAGTGTTGTCGTGATAAGAACAATTGAGACATAAGTAAGAAGTTGTAAGCTCGAATATCGAGCAATAAGTGTTAAGTTGTTGGAATTAGAAATAAAGATAAGTGTGTAGCCATTAAATTGGGGAGTTTTATTTAACAATCCAGTGATCGAACTCAAGAGTGAGTTACAGGTAGACGATTGGTGTCAGAAGTGGGATTGTCAAATAAATTCCCAAGGAGATAATTATTTGAAAATGGCCAAGTTTAACGATCTGAAGATTCCACAACTGAAAAAGGAGCTGGAGCAACGTGGTTTGGCGACTAATGGATTAAAAACAGAATTACAATCACGGTTGAGAGAGGCCATGGAGGCGGAAAACATTAATGTTGAGGAATATGTCTTTCACATGGAATTAGAGGAAGAGACAACAATAATAGAAGAAAAGGAAGAGGCTCAATGCTCGTCAAAGATTGTGGACATAAACATGATTTTTGCTGCAATATCGCAGATGGGGAAAAAGATGTCAACGCAAATGTCGACACAATTTAAAGAACAGGATACACGTATGTCTCAATTGGATACGCGATTGTCAACGCATTTGGAAGAGCTGTTCGCAGCGCAAGATGCACGTTTTTCAGCACAGTTGTCAGCACCGAAAGAGCTCGACGTGCATATGTCAGCGCAGGTATCCTCACAGTTGGAAGAGGAGGAAGCATGTGAACCAGGATCTTCACAGTATGAAGAGCAAGAAGCTTGTATACCAGCAAAAGTGTCTTCGCAGTCGGAAGAACTGAACGGGCGCATGCCAGTGCAGGTGTCCTCACAGTCGGAAGAGGAGGAAGCGCGTATGTCAGGGCAGGTGTTCTCACAGTTGGAAGAGGAGGAAGCGTGTGAACCAGTAAAAGGTTCCTCACAGTTAGAAGAGCAAGAAGCTTGGATACCAGCACAAGTGTCCTTCCAGTTGGAAGAGCAGGAAGCGTTTATACCATCACAGGTGGAAGATCAGCATAAAATTGAACCTGAAACGGATGACTCTGTGCAAGAAGATCCAGAATTGGAAGGTACATTACATAAGGTGGAGTTGAACCAATGTACAACGATTGGAGAAATAACTACAGGAAGGCCAGTCACAAAATCATATTGGGTAGAACGGAGCAGTTTAAAGTTAGTGTATGGCTGCTTGCATCGAGTATGGAAAAGCGAAAATGGGCAAACCTTCCGAATACTTATGGTTGTTCCAAGGGTTGGAATTCCTGATGTTCTTAACGTGCAGTACAAATGTCCAAGAGGAGGGCACTTGAGAGACATGAAATCCTTGAAGCATTTGAAGCAAAGGTTTTATTGGACTGGTTGTCAATCAGCTATAGAAAGGATTGCGAAATATGCTGAGAACATTGTAGCTAAACGATCAAGGTATAGGAGTTATGGGCAGATGAAACAGCACAATTCGCGTGTGCCAGTTGAGAAAATAGGCGTGTATGAAGATGGTCCATTCCCCACCAATAAATTAGGAAATAGTCATGTTTTGGTAGTCAAGGACCATTTCAATGAATGACCACAAGTGTACACAATTCCTAACCAAGAGACTGAACCAGTGGCGGAGGCATTCATCAGCAAGTGGGTAACGAGATTCGGTGTTCCAATGGAGTTACGTTCTGATCAAGAATGGAATCCCGAGTCAGCTTTAAGTCAACGGATGTACCAGAAACTGAGTATCCGGAAAACGGATGGAATTAACTCCAAGAAGAGAAGGACGGCTAACGATGTAAGCACCAGCCTAGAAGACGAGATGGGGGACATAAAAGCTTTGTGTTTGGTATCGCAAATATGTCTAATCGGGACGATCAGAGTTAGGTGGAGGGCAGTGTGACGAATACGGATGATAGAACAAAATCGAATCAACGATAAACTGCCAGAAGCAACTAGTTAGCGAATTCGTAGTTGCCAGAATGTGCTAGAAGCAATGTTTTGTTACAGATTTACTATATAAGGGCTGCCGGATTGTGCAGCAAACACAGTGCTAGTTAGAGTGTTGACGTGATAAGAACAATTGAGACATAAGCAAGAAGTTGAAAGCTCGAATATCGAGCAATAAGTGTTAAGTTGTTGGAATTAGAAATAAAGATAAGTGTGTAGCCATTAAATTGGGGAGTTTTATTTAACAATCCAGTGATCGAACTCAAGAGTGATTTACAGGTAGACGATTTATCGAGAAAACCGTTACAATATAATATCTAGGGCTGCCAGATCATATAGCACACACAGTTCAAGTTAGAGTGTTGTCGTGTTAAGAGCAATTAAGGCATAAGCAAGAAGTTGTAAGCTCAAATAAGTTGTTGGAATTAAAAATAAAGATAAGTGTATTTAACAATCCAGTGATCAAACTCAAGAGTGAGTTATAGGTAGACGATTTATTGAGAAATCCGTTGCAATATACACAAAGTGGCGACAAACAACCAAGAGTGACAGAATACAAGATTACGCCAACCGCCATCTTGTGACGTAATTCTTTTGAGTTGAGAAGAAAAAGCATAGAATAGCTTGTAAATTGTAAACAAAAACGTAAACACTTTTGGTGATCCTGAAATAAACTTAACTTATTAGTTTATGGTATAAAAGTTTTAGTCAAATGAATAGAAAAATGTTGCGGGAAAATATTTTGATAGTTTTTATATTTACAATTGCAACATGTTGCTACAGAGTATAACAGTGTTGTTCACCGTTAGTTTGTATCACCTCAAACTAGGATGATCAAAATGACTAGACGAGTTGACATCCGAATGTCTGTCTGTCCGTCCGACCGTCTGTTCAAGGTTTAACTTGAGGATAAATTGAGATATCGTAATGAAACGTGGTACACATGTTCCTTGGTGAAAAAGTAAGGACGAGCCGTACGACTATGCCGTAAATTAAGATACAGAACTCAAATTTGGCACAACTAATCATATGAAGGAGGGGCACCTGCAATTTGTAAATATTGAAAAAGTGGGTGTGGCTCCGCCCTCTTATAAGATTAATGTTTATATCTCTCAAACCAATAAAGCTATATCACCCAATATTGCACACAGGAAATATTTTCATCTCTTCTTACGATAGTGTGAAAAAGGTGAAATCGGATGATAACCTTGCCCAATCCGCATATAACATTTTTGTTAAAAACGACTAAAAGTATGATAAATCTATAACTAAATGCGTCAGAGACATTAAATTTTCCACCCAGGATGGTAGAAGATAGCTTTATAGGAGCCGGTATCAATATTAGACGGTGGGCGTGACAGCGCACACTTTTAGAGGAAATCCCATATCTCGGGATCTGCTCCACCGATTTCAACCAAATTCGGTACATAACACTCATATCTTATATGTGAGTTATCTCAATAAAAAATAGATAATATAATTGCGTATTTTTCTAATAACAGTGTAACTTTGTGCCTAAAATAAGTAAAATTGGGCCAAAACTTGCCCTAGCACCCATATAACTAATCACCCATATAAATCATCACACATCCGGTTAATTTCACTCCATATATGTTGGTGACGGTATGTGAGCTATTTTAATGAAACCATGGAAGAAAAATATCAGATAAAATCGGGTCAATACTACCCCTATTTCTCATATATCTAACATAAGATTTTCAAACTTTCGGTGGGCGATATGCCATATATATCAGTCAATATGTAAGATATCTTAAAAAAATTAACTGATTAATCTTGAATATATTATAGTTTAATGCCGTAAATATGTGAATTTAATTTTTTTGTAGTTTTCTAATACTCTGTAGAAGGTTCTTACGGAAAAATATATTAAGAAAATTTCTCAGAAAGATTGAAAAAATACATTTAATTTTGCATATTTTAAAAAACGCGCGTAACGAATGTTATCGTCATTCACAGCCATAGACTATATTGAAAGAGCATCGTTTGTTCGGAAATGTGGTTACTTAATTAAATTCTATCGCACTCATTTTTGAAAACTACTCGCCACAATTAAATGTACCGACTTTGACAGTAATAATAATAATACTAGTGATGATTTCATTTTAATGTAAGTATTTAATAATAATAAAATATGTACACTATGAGCTAGATTTCAGAACGCAGTACACAAACTTCGCATAACCTATTTAGTAATGTGTGGTAATCTGACACATACCTATAACATAACATAGCGCTAACAATACTTTTTGATAAAGTTTGTTTTGCTTTAAAGACTAAGAAGTTTGTTGTTTGCTAATAAGTGTTTGTTAATCACGATAAGTTCACAGCTTAATATCGATTTTTAGTAACTTTTGATGACTACACAATATTAAAATTTCATATGCATGGTTAAACAGAAAATATAAGGGAGTCATTTTTTATTTTCAGTTGGATTTTCGTTTTTAAAAATGCCACCAAGCAGACGTACAAACTTAGACCGCTTAACTCGAAATACTGCAAGTCAAAGATATATAAGAGCAAATCAAAAAGTTTTACTGTATTGAATAGTATGTAATTAATGTATACCTTTGCCACAGCAACGCGTGGACGGGGTCCGCTAGTACATAAGTATATAAAAAAGAAGCGCTATTACGTTATGTATCCGTAGAACGTCCAAACGACAGCACGGAAAGACGTGAAAATTTGCACAGTTGTTCGTTTATTCCTAAAGAAGGTCGTAACGGAAGCCTTTTTTTGCAAAATTACCGTCGATTTGGCAATCAATATATGCACATATGTATATTAAAGAAAGTCGTGTTAGTTACACTATTTATAACTCAAGAACGGCTAAAGTTTTAGCTGAAAATTGGTGGAGAGGTAGCTTAGAACCAGGGGACGGAAATAGGATACTTTTTATATCTTTATGTTGAAAGTCAATACAATTCATAAATACAAAAATTGTATTTCAAATCATAAGCATGTGTTCAAAATTCATGTAAGAATCATTTGAATATTTTATTACTTCAAAAAAAATAAAATAGCAACACATAGCTACTGCAAGTAAATTTTGAACAAGGTGGATGTCTCATCTGAACGGCACTATTTTTGCAAAGATTTAATCCGATTTCTTTATTGGCTCTCAATTTCTATACTGTGACATAATGAGAAGTTTAAAATTGTATGAGAAGTAGACGTGGTTGTAGAGTGAATTCGCACACCGTGATCAGAATAATGTTATAGAGTTAATTTCGTTGAAATTGGTCAAGTATCTCATAAAAAATATATTTAACTAGGATTTCAAAAGGATGGACAGACTGTCACCAAGACTTGAACTCGTCCCGTCATCCTGATCGTTTATATATGGTATATAACTCCATATCTATCTCTATTAGTTTTAGGTGATACAAACAACTGCAAAGGTGAACAAAACTGTTATACTACGTAGCAACATGTACGAGTATGTATAAAAAGGGGCGTACAGCTATTATATATAATATATATAAGCAGTGCCGGTTTTAGTACTACCAGCGCCCTGGGCGAGATTTCTACGGCGCCCTCTAACTGCAATTTAAACCCATACGAAAAAAGGCGAAGGATAATAATGAAATAACCATTTATGAAAAGAAATAAACATTTATTAAAAAAACTAATAAAATTTTACTTTTCTAGCCTTTCTATCGGCGAACTCTTTTATTAAGTTATCATAGTCGATGTTTTCAGCAATTTCATTTTCGATTGACAAAGTTGCCAAGTTTGTCAATCTAGATTGAGATATTGTCGATCGCAGATAGGTTTTTATCAGCTTAAGCTTAGAAAAACTCCTCTCTCCACTAGCAACCGTTACGGGAATAGTTAATAATAATCGTACTGCTATCCAAACATTTGGATATAGTTCTTGTAAGTTGCGGTCTTTGATAAAATTTAAAACAAAAACAGGAGTAACCACTTTCTGATCAGGCAAAAACGATTTCAGACTTACGAGTTCATCGCACAACATACATCTATCTATATCTGATTTGGAATTTACATTTAATTTCAATTGAAGATCACTACAGAGTTTGATAAGGTCGTGTTTTTCTGGAATCTGTTTTAAATTGTACAAAAAAGACCAAGATTCCGAGTACTCACATAACTGTTCAAATCTTTCGTTGAGTGAAGTTAACGTCGTGTCCAAAAGACAGTTGAAACATTCAACCTCAAATTTTTTTTCTGGAGAAGTTATAGGCTCATCTTGGGCAGTTTCACCAGCTTGGCGCTTAACATGTCGAATTCTTGTTGTCGCTCTAAACACAGGTTCTATTTCTAACTCTTCAGCCAATTCCTTCGCAGTTAAAATGGCGCTTTTAAAGCCTGTATTTCTATATTCTTCCAAGAAATTGCAGCATTTTTTCAACATGTCTGTGCATTTACCGAGATCCATGTCTGTTGATTGTAGAGATTTACTAACGACATTAATTTGAAAAAGTATGTCATACCAGACAACCAATGAAACTATGAAGCCGAAATCTTTTAGCTGAAGCCGAAATCTTTTAGCTGTAGCCTCATGAGAGACTTGAACATCAGTTTGCTGAGTTTCAATAGCCAAAGTGATTAACGCGTCATGGACGGCGCTAATTTGATAACGGACTGCTTTAACACTGCCTATTCTTGCTTCCCAACGCGTGTCAATGAGTTTTTTTATAGTGTACAATCCCAAGTGATCGGTCAGAATTTTCCATCGATGAACAGAAGCTGAAAACAACGTAAACAACCAAAGAAAGTGACAGATTTTACAGATTACTTAGCGGCATCGCATAGTACGAGATTGTAGCTATGACAGCCACACGGTACATATACAGCTAAAGGATTTATGTCCAGAATTCTCCTTTGAACTCCAATATTTTTTCCTTTCATGTTTGCTCCGTTGTCATAGCCCTGACCTATACAATCGTTCAATTCCAGTCCGTATTTATTTAAAATATCAATAATAACTTCAGTCAGCCTTTCACCAGTCGACTGATTAACAGGTAAAAATTCAATGAAATGCTCTTTTACTGATATTTTATCGACATCTGATGATAAATCAACAAATCGTATTGTCAGTGAAAGCTGTTCTATATGACTAATGTCCGGAGTACAGTCAGCTATAATAGAATAATATTTCGATTTCTTTGCACGTGATATGATTTCTGACTTCACTTTTTCACCCATCAGCTCTATTAATTCATTTTGAATGTCTTTTCCGCAGTAGTGGTCAGAAACATCACCCTTTACAGCTAATCGCAAGTGCTCCTCCATAACTGGATCAAATTTGGCTAGTAGTTGGACTAAACCCAAGAACTTTCCATTATTTGGCGTATATAGTTTGTCGGAAGTACCTCTAAACGCCATATTGTTTTCAGCTAAATACAGTGTAATATGCATTAATCTAGACAAAATATTATTCCACCTTGTAGTTTCCTTTCTAATCAAATGTTGCTCTTGACAATCTATTGTTTTTCCCGTTTTTAATCTTAGTTCAGCCTCAATCCATGAAAGGTAAAACTTCTTATGAAAAGTGCTACTTTCATGAACTTTTAACATTTCTGATAAGTGTTTCCAGTCGTTATATCCTTCAGATGCTAAATTCGAGGTTGAGCTGCTATCAATAAGCCGGCAACAAAAACAGTAAACTCGATTTTTATACTCACGTGAATTATTTCATACGACGCTGAATTATTTCATTGTTTGCAAGTTTTTTGGTAAAATGAGAATTTGAGAAATGTCGCCCTGTATCATTCTTTGGATAATTATCAATGTGAGTTTGCACTGGGCCATTAGTTATTATATGATCAATAATTTTGCTATTTCGAGTGAGTGGCCAAGTGGCTGGATCCGATATATTTGGAACAAGAGAACTAACGTCATCTAGAATTTGTATTTGTTGTACATCACCAATAGTGTCATCCTGAGCAGCATCTGTAATTGTAACACAACTTGTCTCCTCACTTCGGGAAACTTCGTCCACAATCTCTTCAACAGCTAACTGATCTGACTTGTCAGACAGAGACTCCACTACCGATGCATTCGCTTGTATTTCAGATGTAGATGCCACATTAAGGTCTTGATTTCTTGTTGTGATATATTTGCCTATATTCATAAACTTTTTTGTTTTTTCAAAATCCTTCTCTTTTTCTGCTTTTCGTTTTCTATATTTTGACCCAGATGGTTTTCTTTTGAAAGGATCAACGTGTTCAGACATTTTGTACTAATCAAATCTGCAACAAATTAAATCTGCGTAGGTCCGATCATTTCTATAAATTAATTAAATATAACGCTGTTGAGTGAGGACGACCAAAAACGCTTTATATTCAGGAAAGCGTTAGCATACACGTGAACTACGATCGAAAAATCTAGGTAAGGTAATATTGTCATGGCATCGGAATAATTGTGAAATGTTATATTTAAAAGCTTGTGTTACGTGATAGTGCTTAGATTTGTATGAAAAAAATCACGATCATCCACTCGTTCCCGAAAAAATGACTTCTATGTACAGTCAGATGCAAAAGTCAGTAGACACTTTTCACATTTAACACAAAGGCTTACGAATGAACAGTGTTCATCCACTTTTACACTTGACCGTACCTCCTCGACATTCATTTATTATCTCCGTGTTAAAATTTCATCAACATTATATAGTCAGTTCCAGAGATATTTTATAATATATAATTTACTTTAAATAGATTACCCCACTCCAAACATAACATAAACAAACAAACAAATATTACTACTTTAGTATAATAAGTAAAGATAGTTAAAATAAAATTGTACTTACCTAATTAGTGAAATAATCCGTAATAAAGCAAATACCTACTTAAACACTATTTGTATTTCAACTTTTTGGATAAAACCTATGTCACTCTGTAGTCGGCGACAAAAAGTAAAAAACATGCACTTCGTAACTTAGCGTGGACCGCCTGATTACTGCGTCTGTTTGTTTTAAAATATGTAATTGCGATAACTGTTTTTAAGTGCGTGCACCGATTGAATGAATAAGAATGAGCTGTGTTCCGCTCCATCAAAAATAATGCCAACTCTTTTGAACTAAAATGTTAAAAAGAGATAGATACTGTGTTCCTCTGTGGTCGGGGATTCCCAGTAAAATGAACTGTATGTATGTAGTGCTCCGACCGAACGGATTGAGCACTGCGTTCCATTCTAGTGTTGCCAACACATCGTTTTTTTTTTTTCGCTTACAGAGATGGGAACATAAAGGGGCGCCGTTAAGCCCTGGGCGGTCGCCCAACCCGATACTGTATATAAGTCTAATTTTAGAGAAAAATTCAGGATTATATAAACAAAGACATACATATTACTATATAACCAAATTTTGTATTATTATTAAGTCTAATATTATATATTGATTTTCGTTATTCTAACAAACCTTATGCCGAACAAGTCGTTTAATGTGTGAGTTATATATTTTTAAAATTTCTGGAAAATATGATCTCAAGTATACCTCAGCAATGTCAAAATTAACTCAATTAGCCCATCCCTTTTTCTGAACCCAATATAGCCTGTCCAATATACAACACAAAATGTGTGTTACTTTAATAAAAGTAAATTAACAATTTTTTTTTTAATTTTGTGAAAATATGAATGAAATTGGTCTAGACATTGGTCCAAACCTTATATCCCTTCCGTTCGTTATAGTTTACCACATCAACTCAATATATTAAATGTAGCCTTTTCAGTCGATTAATATCACATATGTACATGTTTTTTTTTTTTTAATTTTGCAAATGGTGTCAGTGCAGATGGATTTCTTAAAATTTTTCTTAACATTTTGATCGATTTTAGATGCAGTAAATCGAAGGTTTTGCTTCATACTTTGCAAAGCGTTACTAGTTTCACACTGTGCTAATATTTTTGGACGCCCTGGACGCGCCGAGATTCAAAAACACCGGTATGTTTTTAATTTTTTTATTACTCTTTGTATGAAAGAGTGTGTTCTTTCAACCATTTGACCGATTTAAGGGTATGTTTTTCCTTCTTCGAAAAGTTTAACCATTATTTCTCTTTCAGAGGATCAATTTCTTTTTTTTGGGCGAGATTCGATATTTAAAATTTAATAACAAACGAAACGGAACAAAAACCTTTTTTAATTGCTATTTTACGAAACAAAGCAAAACTATAACTTTAAGACACTTTTAAACTTGGTTTATTACGTAGGGAGTTCCCATTTTACTATTTGTACGCAGACGTTTTCTGCGCAGCCAAATTACTATATTTTGTAAATTTGTCTATAAAACTATGGTGTCAGATCATTGCTTTAAATGCTATGGGATTATGCAATAGACTAGTAATAAAGCACTTAATATGATTATGCTCTAAAATTTAGTATATAAAAGTTATTTTTTACTACAAGAAAATGAGATATTAGCGTGTACGCAGACTTTTTCTGGCGAATGTATACTATCTCATTTGAAGGTGGTGTAAATACCTATATTTTTAGCTGACGCGAACTAAAATATAGCAATAAAGCTAAGTCTAAGTTTATGGGCTTCAATATACATACATAAGTCAAGAATCGACTAAATTTTATTGTAATTTATTCACGATTTCATCGAATAATGAATGTTTAATTCTTTCGCAACATTTTTCAATATAAAGTTTTCCCAGTACTTGAATTAATTTCCCGAGCTTTGATTCTTGCAAGTTGCAAGAGTATAAAATGTTCGGCTACACTCGAAATTAGCCCTTCCTTACTTGTTTAAAAAATACTTCGTTCTATTTACAACATAATTGCCAATTAAGTGAGTATTTAAAGGAATTGTGATTTAGTTTACAATATTTCGGCTAAATAATAAAAATTCAAAAGGAGGTTTTCAGGCATTCATGAAATTTATGCTTTGTCCAAACTTATGCGTTTACGAATATTGTGCAGCGGGTCTTTTAAATTGGTTCCTGAATGCATATGTGTATTTATATTTATAAGTTGCTCTTTGCTTTCTCCATTTTATTTTTGTTACAATATGAAATGTCAAGCGAAGCAAGGAAAGTTGTATGTAAATGAGCCATTACTGTATGGCATTGCGTCGTTGAAACAGAGAGAGTCCATGATCTTGAGGTTTTTTTTGGCAGCACTAAAAGTTCATGGGCTATTGAACAGATGACAAGCAAAACAATGAACTACCACGAAGAATCCCGCAAAAATAAATTGCGAATCAGTGGGTTATTTTTGAGATCAGATTTTTTAGTGACTTGTATGTGTGTTTCTAGTATTTATTTAAACAGATTTAATATAGTAGTCCAGTCATTATAGTAAGTTCACCTCGGAATTCAGATACCCAGCTGTAAGTCTGTAAATACTTGTATATTGACACCCTAAAAGTTGTCTCAAAACCTACATATGGTCGGGTGTACGCAACTATTAAATTTCAAGGTCAAAGGTCACAAAAATCGGTTTTTTGCGCTCTTTTTGTAAATATCTCATTTACTATGGGTTTTTTGCTATTGGTATTTATATTAATATAGGAATTATATTTGAATTTAAACCTTATTAATATTAATAACTTCTTACATGATAAAAAAAAATTAAAAAAATTTATTAAAAAATATCATTCAATACATTTATTTTTATTAAAAGTAAAAAAATGGAATAAAGGGTACAAAAACTACAATTTATAATTTTAATCATCTTCTTCCTCTTCATCGTCGTCTTCCGGCTGCTGGTAAATTTCAAACTGATCTTCATTATCGTCTTCAACGACATTTGTTTCAAGTTCTTCCATGATTTCGGGGTCAAAAGTTCCATCTTCGTTAGTGTCGCTCTGATATAGTAGATCATTGAGTTAAGTTTGCCCATTACATTGGCCACAAGCTAAAGAGCATTGCAAGCCCGCTTTCCTGCATCTGCATCGCGAACCACAACCACTCTTGCAGTTGCAGAAAATTGTATTTAGCAAATGTTCTGGAGCAGGTGGTAAAATTGTCATGATAGGCTCCAGAAAATCGTTTCGCATTGCCCAACCCCATACCTGGGGTTCCAAATCATGCCCTAACCAAGTTTGAACTTGATAATATACACGTTCGAAATGTTGATGAGCAGCTGCACTTGTTGGTGGAATATTTGAAAGCTGCACAGGTTTATTAAGTTTTGTAGACTTGACGTAATGCATATAACGAAGATGATCGAGACTTTTCACAGATTTCGGAGCATTATAGACTGCCAATAAGGTTTGAGTTCCACTCTAATAATCTCTGGGCCGAACAATTTTCTTCCTCAAATGCTGCAGCTAGTTCATCCAAATTGGTCAGTTTCTCAAAAACTTTTAAAAATGTTTTTTTTTCCCTTTTTAAAAAGCGCAGAAGTTGTGTCACATTCACTTTATGCGTGCAGAAATAAAATATGTGTTTTGGAATGAGGATAATTATCAAAACTTTTAGTCGAGTATATCTCCGTTTTTACATTGCCTTTCCCAACTTTTTTAAAGAAAATTTCTTGTTCGTAAGACAGTGTACGCCCAATTAAAATGATGAGTAAATCAATATCTTGTCCTATTATTTACAAATTTACAGATTTTAAAGAAGATGCACTTAATTATTTTCTAATTAAAATGTCATTAGTGTTAATGGGAATATAATTATAGTAAGATTTAAGTTTTTACCTTCATTATTTTTTAATTTTAGGAAACGGTGATCAGTATTATTGAATAGATAAAGATTTAAGGCATGAAGAAAATGATAAAATATAATATAATAGTTAATAAAAATTGACAAATATTTATAATCATTGATTTATCGATAGTTCATCAACTATATATGGCCCGTTTTTGATCGGAGGCACCGGTCCTTGACCTTTTTGTGACCTTTGACCTTGAAATTTAATAGTTGCGTACACCCTACCATATGTAGGTTTTGAGACAACTTTTAGGGTGTCAATATACAAGTATTTACAGACGTACAGCTGGGTATCTGAATTCCGAGATTCTTACCTAATTTAAGCTTAAATGACTGGACTATTAGTTCGGTTTCAATAGTTGCTTCTATATGGTTAAGGGTTTCCGTGTATCTTCCTATGTCAATTTCGAGTATTATTTTAAATGTTCCTGTTTTTAGTCTAGCTGTTCCTTTTTTTACTGAGTTGTTCGTTTGAATAATCGAGTATTTTTACTTCCGCAAGGCATAGCGGTAGTAATAGTCTGGAAAAGAATGTCGGTATTTATTTAGTTAGGATACGTAACTGTAAATTATTAGTTC